TGTTGTCAAGTATGGTGTATTGTTGCCATCTTTTAGAAAAGTTGACAATATCATTCTGACTGGGCCAGTGGCTATCGTAAACGTAATCCGGGTTTCCAACATGAACAAACGTCAGATCTTGCAAGATCAAGCCACTAAAGAAACGACTTAGGACTATGCAACAGACATATTTCTAGACCTCGAAACTTACATATATGGTAAACATGGAGGCTTTGCCTCACTTAAAGCTGTGCGATATGCTTTAAACGACTGAGAACTGTCGACCAATGCACCGTGTTCCGCCAAAGGCTCCAGAAGCGACTTAGGCCAATTCAGCCTGCGGACTGGACCGGAATCCAGTGCGGACAACATCGCCAGACAAGAGTTAAAGTTGCCACATCGCCGAAGACAACGCATGATTTTCGTAAACTTCGCAAAATACTTTTCTCTCTCCTTCTGCTCGCTCTGCTGCAAAATTTTAGTCCTAACCCAGTAAGACATTTTATTAAAATGTTCTGTGAAAGCCGTCAAATTTGGACAGTGTTCTTCCGACTGATGTTGAGCCCAGAGCAGCATTTCACTTAGCTAAAAAGCAATTCTCAATGTTGGTTTATCGAGTGAAACCCCAATCTACCTCTATTCTTTGGAAGTAGAACCAGTCCAAATAAGTGATCTGTTCGGCGAGAGCTGACGACTTGAAATCGAGAATAGAAATACTCTTGATTCGTTCAGGAGTGTAGAGCTGAACGAAAGCCGGCTGGCGGGAGGATGCGTAGCTACCATTAATCTTTTCGTGAAGTTTCTCAACAAATCTTTGGTGCAACAGTCTTCCCAGATTTAGTTCACCGCTGGTTATTATTCGGTAGACAAAATCCCGCAACAGCAGCAAAATTTCGCTCGAAAATTCTATAGAACTAAAAGAAGTTTCAATTACTTCACGAATACGAAACTAGAAACAATCAGAAACCTACAAACACTTACACGTAACGTACTAAAAGAGGACGATATAAAAGGGCATCAAAATTCCGTCAGTGAAAATGCCGGCAGAGGGCTGTTTTCCAAACATGAGCCCGTTGCCGCTGATTCCCCGCTGGTCCTAATGATACAATGACTAACGAGACTGCCTTTGAAGTTAAACGCACGAAAATCTTTTAAGAAGCGGCTGACACCCCTGAGTGCAATGGACAGAAATACAGGTGGATACGTCGCATAATGCAAGAAAGCTACCCGAAGAATCACGGTCAGCGGTCGATTTGTGGCAACGGTGAGGAAAACGCTGTCGCTCAAGTTTAAAATGAATGATTTTAAAAGGAGGTCCAAGAAATCTGGCAGCAAAATGCGCGATTCATTCATCGCGTGGGCGCTACAGTAAACCAACCAGCACTTTAGCCTCGATAAATGCATAAATAACAACACATCCGTTAATTCATTAAGTTGCACAAACACCGTACCTAAGATCATCGAGTATCCGCACAAGAAGAGAGAAACAATTTTTCGCTGCTTTCTTCTTCGTTGGATCGTCTGAAAAGGAAAACCTCTCGTACCTATACACGAGTTTGCTGAGAACGTCCAGGGGAGATATGAAAGTTCTGTACGTAGTTATGAACGCTTCTTGATAGCGAAAGCCTAAAAAAGTTAAATTCGTGAAACCAGACAATCGTTAATCTAGATAACAGTTAATCTTTTTATGTGCATTTCAGCAAAACAAGGCTAAGAACCAAAACAGACATACAACAGCGCTCATATACAAATCTGAGATTCGCATTACGGTAAGAGATAAACCGAAAGAACGGTTTCAAGATCTAAAACGACACTTACCTCAGCAAACTGCTGTAGTCGTTACCAGCAGTCTACCTGTGGGATGGGGGAAAAGATGTAGCAGTGGATAAATCAGCTAGATATGGACCGTGTACAAACGAGAAAAGCCGCTGGAAATTGGGAAATGGAAACGTTTACGCGGAAACATATGCTGAAGAAATCAGATAAAGCAGGTACCATAATCCCGCCGTTTCTATGAAATATGTTCATGGCGCAGCGATTTGGGACTCAGCTTACGTACCAGGTACATGTCGCTAAGTTCTTCTCCAATGTCAATGAGGTGAAAGACTGGCTGTATGAGAATGGCTTTGTGCGGAAAGAAAGGAAATCCTGTGACTGTATTTTACACAGGGTAAAAGTCTCTAATGAACGTAAATAAAGAGAACGCTGCTGCGCAATTCTGCATCACCCCCAACCAGCGATACGACAGCTATAATGTACCTGAGAATCACCTGAAATCCACAGGTGAACAAACTGAGCAACAAACTGAATGCCTCACATCATTTCTGCACAGAACAACGATGCCTTCGCGGGAACTATGCCTGACTTCGACGTTAATTCAACAGTATCCAATCTCTCTATGTTCGTATCGCATTTTTCTGCCCCATGAGTGGGGAACAGCTGTTGCGCATCCAAAATCTAGGGAAGTTACGGCAAGACTGTGCAAAAACACAACCGATGGGTTTAGGGCCTTCGTGGTGGATGAATCTATTTGAAAAAACAGCGATTCACGGTAAAGCCATTCTTGCCATATCAATTCATCCATCCATAGAGTTAAAGCGTCCAGTTTTGCATACATTTAACGCCACGTATCAAAACAGGATACATCTGAAATCGGAGCTACAGATCTAATGTCGGAAACTTCGCCGACTGCAACGGTGAACTACAGGTTACGTGCTAAATTCTGAAACGTCTAACGTCCCATTTACTCTACATTCTGTATTGATTTTACAATAATTGCATTATCTTATTTGAGGAATGAAAACGTACCGTATTCATTAGGGGAAACTTTAGTAAACTGAGTTAATCATGTTGTTTTTCATCAAAAGCAACAACAAAATAAACTGCTGAATTGACTGCAATTCCGACATGTAGTTGTGTAAACGTATGCAGTAAAAAGAGAGAACGGCACCAATTGAAACTTGCAAAAAAGAGTACCTCATTGCTAATCCCATGGAAAACAGACCTGTTATGACGATGTGAATAGCATAAGACAATGTGTCAAGCGAACGCATAAGCCTTCCGGTCTCTATTAAAAGCATGCTCTATAGCTTAATCATGATAATATCTCAAAATTATCTGATTTGTTTACGAGCTCTCATATATTAATACGTTACCAATAACCGAAACAATGCCTGTGACCCAAATTGGCATTCATCGGGAAGAGGATCATGCGGCAAACTATATCTTTTGAGATCAGTGCACTACACTGCGAATTAGATCGTACCCTCCAAGGAAATACAATCCGCAGTCCATTCTTTCAATCAGCGTATAGGTCTATAGTAATGTATTTTGTTCAAGCTGAAAAGCATAGGTATTGCACGCCAGCAAGTCCTTTGATAAGGTCTCCGTAATATTATTATGCTTACTGTGTGATTCTGGAGGAGCCTTTAAATCGTCTGCAACTGACGTTAGACGTAGGCTAAAATTGCGTCGTGTGTCCGGCACAATTGCGGTTTTGCTTCGATTGGTCAGTTCGGAAGGCAGGTAATTTGGTAGTCACGCAGTATCGGCTTTCATTCTAACAGTCCGACGGACGGCATGGAGAAACAGTTTGACCCTGCTCGCTGTACGGATAAATACCGCCAGCGTCTCTGAAACTGTCAAAATTTGCAGTCACATTGCCATTTTCTAGAGAGATTCATCTTAAAGGTAGAATGATATTTTTCAATCCGCAGGTGCCATCATTACTTCTTAGTCAATGGTTTGAAAGTTGGAGTTGACTGTCAGAACAAGATCGCCAAGACAACTTATCCTCAAGCACGACGAAGAATGCTAGGTCTGCCAAACACGACGAGGTGCACATGGGAATGATTCGTGAGAAACAATGTCAGATAAAGAACTAAAGCGAACTCCACCGCTGCCGGTCCTAACCTGGCTGAGAAAGGAGAACGGTTGGAGACGTCTCAGGAAATCCCGCAACACATAATACTGGAACATCACCTTCCACTTATGGTCTTGTTACTATCCAACATTCTACCGACTCGGTCGTCGTCCGGGTTACCAAGGTCTGCATAAGCTGTTAGAAAACTTAGGCAAACTGCGATAGTTGGTCATCAGAAACTGCTTTACGCCTTCTGGCAGCTGCGGACATAGCCAACATGACGACGGCTGCCGAAGAAAGACACGAAGATGACGAAAATACTAGTAAGCAACGGAGTTTTTACTCGCTGTTAACAGAGGAGGCGAACAGCGCGACAGCATTACAATACGTCCGATAATTTTCCCGGGATCGACACTGACAGTCTGAAATCGGAACATCT